ATGATAAAATGAAAAATTTCCTCGGGGATGATCGATCGACAGAATTATTTGGTAAATCCACGGATCCAAATTCAATACATTGAATATTCACATATATTTGTACATCATATACAACCATATATATGTTTTTTCAAATGATAATGCAATAAACATTTGAAATAAACTAAAATAAGAACCAATATACAATCTGATTTTAAAATTAGAAGAAGAAATAAAATTTTACTATTCTATGTTCGATTTTTAACTGCAAAAAAACAAAAAATTATATTCATAGTTATCATTTTCGCAAAAAAGAAAAAATACTTTATTTTTTATTTCATGAATTATGATTCATGACGAATAGAAATAATGAACATAAATCTATATAATCTTTTGTGCAATATGAATAAGATTAAAACATAGAAAATTAAAAGTTAAAAACCCGTGTTTAATATTAGAAGAGAAGGAATAGTTTAAACATATTGAACTTTTTATTTTGTTTTTGTCTTTTAATTAAGATTTAGATATGTAAATAATATATAAAATAAAGAGCGAATATTTTACTATTCTATGTTCGATTTTTAACTGTAAAAAACAAAAAATTATATTCATAGTCGTTATCATTTTCGCAAAAAGGAAAAAATACTTTATTTTTTATTTCATGAATTATGATTCATGTGAGACGAATAGAAATAATTAACATAAATCTATATAATCTTTTGTGCAATATGAATAAGATTAAGAAAATCTTTTATTTTTTGTGTTTAACATAGAGTAGAATAATAAAATATTTTTTATTTACATATATTGCTTAATTAAATAATCATTAAATGATGCTACATATATGTAAGAACAATTTATTATTATTGATACCTAAGATGATGTCTAGATAGTCAGGTATAACTTTTGTATTCTCTTGATATCCTTGAATATAAACTGTAGTTTCAGTCTTATCTTTTTTCATCTGATTATATGTGTTTTGTATGCAATCCGTATCTTTTATAACACATTGAATTGATCTAGTCGGGGCATTGCTAAAATATGATGTAAATCGAATAAAATATTTTTATTATGTACTGGTTTAGTATTACAAAATATAAAAAAAGAATAGTAAATTAAAATTTAGATAGAAATAATTTAACTCATTTTTTATAAATTATGTCGTTTTCGTATTATTCTGAAAATCGTTCATTGTATACGGACATTTTTCACTAGGTACTCATTTTGAAAAAAAAATATATATATAACATAATATTAAATCTCTTAAAAATATAAGCCTACTTTTAATAATCAAAACAATTCTTAATATAAAAAAAAAATCATAAATACCAGTAAGGGAAACTCAAAAGAATTGCTTCCGGATCGATTTTGTCATCTGTAAAATTGAGTTTAAATAAAAGAAATTGTGCTAAAACATTTTGTTTTGGCTCGTAGCCCTTCTTAGTACAATTTCTTTTATTTGAATTATTTGAGCTATATTTTATTATGTATTATTGAGTTTACTTTAGTATTCTATTGTATGTATCTCTAACACATTTCTAATATTTATGCAAAACATTAATATTATTCATAATTTATAAATTTTTGAATATTTATTATTCAAAAATTTATTATAATATAATTGTTCACAATTTTTTTTTGATAAATAATGCCAAAATATAATATCTTTAATCATGCAGGTTTTTACAAAGCCTCTTCGTGATCTTATTGGAAAAATGTTAATTAATAGTAAACACATACACGTATACACACGCATTCATACTATTTATAATACCGATCACGCTTAATTGGAATGTTATAGGACGATACTATTTTACGATAATATGTTTAAAATAGCGAGAAATGATCATGACATTAAGTATTGTTAATTAATATCAAGTAATCTCTTTACTTATCACTGATGCTGTGAAGCAAATGAGGAACACCAAAAAACAGGTATACGTAGATGTACTTTGAGTCATTTTGTAGTCTTCATTAAGCAACCGTCGACAAACTGAGTAAATTTAACGCGCGACTTTTGGATCATTATATTCAACCGTGCATAAGTATATCTACGATTGCGAGAAGAAATATATTTGTTTGCCCAAGATTATGAAGTATTAACATAAATTTCTTTTCTGCGTTCGTGAGAGATAAGAGGCAATATAACAGATCATCAATTTCTTAAACACATATACAGAGTGTTTAAGAAATTGATGATGACTTTTACTTGATTTTTAAACAACTCCTCAAGGTCAAACCAATGGCATCATCTTATGTCTTCCTTCAAACTATACAATTTTTGTATGAAACATTTTTCTCTAAAAATGCTTTATTTCCGAAATATAGATCTGTTAGACTTTAACTAACTCACGCGGTGTATACATTTGAATATGTGTGCGTTTTATAACGTGTTACATGACCCTGGTCAATCTTTCAAGTCAATATTAAATACTATATGTCTTGAGAAAAATTGAGAAAAATATTAATATAATTATCATACACACAATGATTGTTTAGGCCTGTGTTTTAGTAAATTAGTAGAATTGCATCACACACAGAACGGAGAATTTCTAGTAATTTACCAAAACGCAAGCAATGCAGCAGGACAATAAGCATCCTGTGCCATAGGCTTTACATGCCATTTCATATCATTATTGTATTTTGCAATATGTTGAATTTATAGGAAAAGATTTTTAGGAAAAGATATAGTAATTAAAATTATCATATTCTGTTTGCAAAAAAAATGTAATAAAAAGTGTAGCTACTTATAAAATTTTCCGATGTATAACAGATCAATTATTTTGCAATTCCTGCATGTGCTATATTTGTGTATTCTATCTTTAAAAACATAACTTAAAAAATTTTATGCCCTGCAAGCTAATAATTAATCGAATGAGACAATTTGCTACTTTAAGCAATCGAGTTTTTAATATGATCTCTCATATTAACGCCTTGAGTACTCTCATAAAAGTGCATCCTGCCGTAAAACTCTTTAAGACTTACAATTAGCTAATGCGTTTTCAGACTTTCTAAGAAGATTCCCTTCTCCGAAGACACGAGAAACGCCGTCCATTACGGCTGCGAATTTAATTCTAACCAGTTACGGTTTGTCAGCAAAAATACGCTAAGAATAAGTTGACAATATTGGCTAAAATAATTCCATTTATGACTACTTTAGATTATCAGTAAACTCAATTACGCTTGCAAAATAAAAGTACTTGCAAATAAATGTGATAAGAATAGACTTTTGTTTTGTCAGAACAATTTTCATAGCAGTTTTCATAAATAGTTTTTGTGTTATGTACAGACGTTTTAAATAATATTAAATAGTGCAGATAATCGTTTTATTGTCTTAAAATATCATCGGAAATTTCTGTATATACATATAATATAAAAGAAAGGGAGATAAGATGATGAAACAGGTAAGATGATGAATTGCTAATTTTTTCAAGCTAATAACAGATGATGAGCCGATACTAAATTCATACAAAGGCTTCAGATAATAATAAATCATCATTTGTAGTTTAATTTCAATATGGCCACAGGAGTGGATATAAGAAGAAATATATTTTAGATGCGCTCATGTGTAACTATTTTATGTTAATTTGTAAGGAATAACACAATTGTAAATACTTTCATTTTCTCTATAAAATCATATAGTATAGCTAAAAAATAGAATAACATACTAATATTCTTTATTTTTTTATTGTAATATTTTTTATTAAATGAATATGCAACGCAGTGATTGCAGATAAGATGACTTTCAATAGTAGACAAGATGAGATATTCGTGTATGCAGGTTATATTTATTAATATGTATTGTAAATAAGTACTACAAATTAATTATTTAGTATCGATACCTGTATAAATAAATCTCATATGCAATTCATTAATTTTTTTATTCTTTATTTTTCTTTAATTACATTCTTATATTATAATATAATATAAAAAATATTATAATATAAGAAGTGTTTATTGCAAAACAAATCTTTTTATACGTAAGAAGTGCATTTTTGTCTTTTGTAATCTTATCCACTATTAAAAGTCATCTCACTCGCATATAAGAGCAAGACAAAATTGACATGTCCTTAAAAAATATAAATTTTGAAATTCTAATTTCTAATTTATTTAACTACTTTTTAATTTTTACAAATATAACAATCAAGATTGTACTGAATCTGAAAAAAAAAATACATCATTCTTTTTACCTCATCACAGAAATTAGGAAATTAGGAAAAATCAGCAAATATTACCTCTCTTTGTCATCTTGTTTCCCCTTTCTCCTATGCTTAGAAATAGAAGATAAAAGTACAATAGATCGAACGCGACGAAAATTAATTAGGATAAATTTCAAAATGAAGTTAAAAAAGAATATGAAAAGAACATTTTTTATTTAAAAAGACAAAATGTATTGAACAAATGTAATTTCGTAAAAATACAAAGATAATTTTGTACATTAATCAAGAGAAGGTCAGATAATCACAAGGATGACAAAAATATTTAGCGAAGAAGATAAAGTGACAGATCGCCAAATTGCGAATGTATATGCTGATCCATCTATCAAGATATGCCGAGAGTGAGAAATGCCTAGGGAAATTTTTAGTATTCTGTCGCTTTTCTTATGTCTACGATGTAGAATTTTAAAGCTTTTGTACGCCATATAGAAAACGTGTGTGCTTTGGTTATCAATCTCATGCGAAACCCCTAGAGGTACGAGTAAGAAAATATCTTTTACACAATGAAAGTTCTTGAGATATTTTATTAGTTTGAAAAATATGTCAGAGTTAGACATTTGCAAGAACTGTTAAAAAATTTATCCGTGTGTTTAAGAGAGAGATATTAAAATTATCATACTCTATTTAAATAAACTCAAAGAGACGACGTCTGTTGCGAATCTGAATAAATGTTTCTAGAATTTGATGACATACATAAGAAATATGAAACTCTCATAATTAGTCAATAAAAAATTTAATAACGACAAAATATATGTAGCTACTCAAAATTTGTACGTGAGTTGCAGAAAAATAAAAATTTTAAGAATATAAAAAAGTTTAGTTTATTTCATTTTATTTAAATCAAACTTAAATTATTATCATTTACCAAGATAAAGAGTATTTATAATAAAAAAGATTTTCTGAATAGCTTTTTGACGAAAATTTGATTTTTATAATATAATAATTTTTATAGCTTCTCTCTCTCTCTCTCTCTTAGAATTGGTTATCATGGTTCTAATAATTAATTAATTTTCTATGAAGAATACTAAGCAATTACGAGATTGTTAATAGTAGTGCAAATCTTTAAATTTGCTTTCTAATAAAATTATCGCGATGCGACGAACAGACTTCATTTGCTACACGAGATTTTCTCTAATCTTCTTTCAAGCCTTCTTGATCGACCATAATCCACCAGGATTTATCGCGGCTGTCCGTTGCAAAAAATCAAATTCTTCCGTTCTTAAAGAATAGTTATTATTTCGTGTTGTTGCAGCTAAGGATACTTAACCTTTTTTTTTGTTCTTTCTAGGAAATTACAGAGCTTTTCGTTTGTCGTATTTGCGTGAAGTCGAACAGTATCTATATATTTCTAGCTCTGTTGCCATAGTATCTTTGCTTATTCAATATCTTCAAAATAAGAGAGTGCAAATTATTTTTATTATTTTTTTCATAAACTAAGTCTATATAATTATTAGTATGATTAAGATTCATATTTGCTCCTTCAATCTTTCTCTTTTTTTATTATACCAATTGTTAAAGCATATATAATTTTATGATTTATTATAATATTTTATATATATATATAAAAGATATATTTAAATAAAATAAATCTATGCAAAGAAATAAAAGATCATGAATGAGGCGATATGGTCAAATTCAATTTGGCAAAATTTGAACTTTAAGCACCTATTTTTTGTCTGAATAAAACTCAATTGATTAAAAAGTTACTTAGTGAACGAGTAAAAGACACAATACGGTGTATTGATTTCATTCCATAAATGTGTAGCGCTCTAATACAAAGATTCAGTTGAGTTGTTAGATGTTTTCCGATTTAGCTGCCGCTTCTTTCTTCCTCAGAGTTCTTCGGCCGCATTATCGACATTTGCATTTTTATCGAAAGAAATCTCATTAGGGGGTTTGAGGAAACCGGTAGCACCCATTAATTATTTATACTTCCTGAATTCTTTTTGAGCGATATATATCGAAATTGAAAAAGTGTTTAACGTGTAACCGCTCGTTTAAAGTAATCAAATATTGCTCTTCCTCTCTTCTCTTTTACTTTGTTTTTATCGCTTTTTTTTTTCTCTTTAATAATATTTTTTTTATTGTACGTTATCTCACACAGTAGAAAAGCGTGCAGCAATATTGCTGTAACGTCTACAATGTTATTACAATATTGCTAGAACATTGGTTGTTGTAATATTATTGGAATGACCTGTGCTGTATGGGATATGATCTTCGAAATCATATTGATTTTATTATCTTTAAATTACTACGAAAAGATTTATGAAAAAATCGGTTTTTTTTTAATAAATAAGCAAAATGAAGTGAAACTTATTAATTAGTGTATCTAATATCGTCGATGTAGTAATTTCTTTACTTCCTATTTTTTGCATTTTCCTTTTTTTTTTTTTACCATATATGTTCCCAACATTTATCTAAACATTCCTGCTACACATTTTACTAAGAAATCATCAAAGAAATAACGGAGGTATCGCTTTCCTTGAAGCTCGAAAGCGTAATAAGCTCTCCATGTTTGCAAGCGAGTTTCCTTCTCAAGAATTCCTAGTTCTGCAGAGTTTCCTCTTCGAACGCAAGATGTCTTTTAAAATTAAGAATAGACGGATTTACAAAAGAGCGCTATGCGGTATAAAGTTTATGGGTTTATCGGACGACATACGCATCCTGTCCTTTGTTATATCATTTTTATCATTTTTACGTCTACCTAGCTTTGTTAATTTTTTTTATACAGGCAACAGACGCGTGCAGAAATTCTATTGATGTTCTCATTTTATCTAATTACGAGCAGTA